GCTTCGACACTCGTTCCTAGACTGACGGCTTCAGCTTCGGCAAACCCTAGATCTTCGGCTTCAACACTCACGGCTTCGACACTCACGACTTCGATATCTCGGCTTCAACACTTTTGGGGTGAAGATCAAGGAACAAATCGTCCTCATCGCCGTAGGAAAAATCAATAGCATTTGAATCGTGTAACAGGACGCGGATCCTACTTGTATACTTGTAGGCTATGATCGTGATCGATAGCATTTGGATCGTATAACAGGATGCGGATCCTACTTGTAGGCTATGATCGACAACATCGGGAAGGTGTAAATGGACGCGAATCCTTCTCGTGACTATGATTCAAATTTCTAGACAACAACAATAAAGGATTTCTTGCTTTTCATATTAGGTTTAGAAGTTGTATTTGAGGCTTCGTCATCTTCGACTTCGACACTCACGGCTTAAGGATTTTTGGTCCTGGCAGTGTTATCAGTTTCTTTTTGGCAAATTGATGTTTCCTGGTCTATCACCATCATTTGGAGGGGGATGTCAATCATGAAGGACGAAAATCAGGCAGTAAATTAGGAGTTTTCTATAATTAGGAGCATCCTTATTTAAATTATTTTTAATATCTTTATTCTGATTTATTTCCATTTTAGCTGAATATTTAGATGGAAAATTTGTATTATTAAGTTAACTAAAATAGATTATATTGAATATTGTGTACCTCAAATAGATTGTAAGATTACCATTTAATGGAATGAAAGCAAAGGCAAAAGACATCGAGCATATTCAGAATTCACCTATTTTTCTCAAAACTTTGACACATTCTAGGCCTGGCTGTTGATTTTCATGCAGGTTCTGAAAAGCAATTAGGCAAGACAAATTCCAAACATAGAATCCTCTAAAGCCAGAAGGTATCAGCAAAAATCAGGGAATGAACGACCGTACAACTTTCTTTTGAGCACTTGTAGGACTTCCCTTTTGTGGGACAGCATTAAGAGTTCTCAACCAGGTTTTCTGTTGTCCAATACCGTCATTGTTTATTTTCTTCTTATTAATGCCACAATGAATTATTCCACAGGTTGTAGAGAGTCGAACAACCTGTTTGGTCCGTCCATCTTGGAGTCACAAGCAGCAGTACATTTTTGGGAGGAAATGCCATGGAATTGCGAACAGAGATAGCATACCATCTGAATGGGGTAGAGGTTCACAGTAGAATACAAATAAAGCATTTTTTTAACAAAACAACCAGAAAGAGTAATTGTCTTTAGTGTCGTGGTGGTAACACTGTTTTCATGTCCATTTGTCCCTCATTTAAGAGGAAATTGTCCAAAAATCGGTATCATTTTATCCTTGGAGGTTCTATTAGTGTCTAGTATATTATTGCAAGTTTTCAGATATTTGACCATGCCACATAAAAGGAGAAGCTTCAAGACAAGTAGATGAAATTAAAGTTAAAGGGCTAGAGGAAATAGGTCGATCGAAGGTGCACAGAATAGAAGTGCAAAAAAGGATATTTTAAACATAGAACTAAAAGTTCATGTAGTATTCAACCTGGATGAAAGGTGGATGAGGTTTCATAAGCTTGATCCCAAACAGAAGCAAAAAGATAACAGTACTGAGTAGTCTCACAGGTTAAGAGATAGGTTGCATGCCAGCTACCTAGTAAGAATTTTTCAAATAAGACATTCTAATTGATATCAATGCATAAAACCTTAACTACATTGAATAAAAAAATGCTAGAATAATCCATAACAATATTGCTTGATAAACTGCAAATGATATTTAGTAAATTCATAGCTGCATTTTCTCCATTTATCAATTTAGTAGAAAAAAGTATCAGTCTATTTTCTCACGGCAATAGTAGTATCATGTTAAAAGATAATTGAATGAGCCAATAGAAACCGCAAAATAAAATATAGGAAGATTTACATACCACTCAATTCCTATAAATTTACATATCTAACACGTGAGCTTCACTTTTTACATACATAACACCTTATGCATGAAAAGGTGTATTTTACTTTTTAAAAGTTGAAATGGTGGTATTTTTAATGTGATATGAACGATTTGGGTGGTATAAATGTGAAAATAAAGTTTAGGCATTAGATATGTAAATAAATAGGAATTGGGTGGTATGTATGTAAATGCCCCTAAAATATAACACAAACTAGGCTAAAGAGGATACGAAAAGGAGTCATGAAACCAAGTGATCCTAAAGAAAAAGGAACAACAGGAGGAATTGGTCCTTTGAACATCGAAGCAGCCTGCGTAAAGAAACAAAATACAACACATATTAAAGTTGTATAGCTGTTACTCAAACATTTGTCCAGGAGAGGAAAGTATATCATTGCACTAGTCTTGGGCTTATCGAACTATCAAGCAAGCACAAAGAAAAATTTGTCAAAGCAACCACAATATAAATAAACAATGAAATACTAAAAGAAGTAATAAGTACATACGTGAAAGATTAAAGAATAAAAAGAAAAACATTTAGAGATTGATAGACTATTAAAATAGTTTAAAAATGGATAGAGAAAAATCAGTATGAAGTTACCGTACAAGGGTATGCCAACAAAAAATGCAATGAATGTAAGCAAACATTCATAAAAATATAGAGCATTTAAGATAATAAAATTATTATTGAGCCTTTAAATTTTCAGTAAAAGGTCCAACTCAAACCAAACACATGCAATCAGGCAAGACCAAAAGAAAGTAGGATTGAAGGCATGACTAACACTTTAAACTTTCAAAATAATTGTTAAAAGTAGGACATTCATTGCTTAGATCTTGTAGTTTCACTTTTTTGTGGATTAACAATGAAGCAAATATTCAATATAAGAATTTCAATCTCCTCAAAAATACATCCTCCTCATACTACAAATTAATTTATTTATGGAGCATTCATCGTCAGTCTTATTTCCACCATTAGAGGGATTTGAAGAGATTACAAAATATAAACATGTGACTAATCTTCTGTAGTGAACTGAAATGGTCAACCAAGATCAGTCACACACAAATGACCCCGCCTATACCTTCGCCCTGATCACCTTCGCCTTTCCTAATCACCCAAATTGCCCTTCCCTATCACCCTACTTTGTAATTTTAGAAATGGCTGTCATATTTTAATTTCAATAAGGTTAGAAAATGTATAGGATTATACCTATTATTACAAATAGAAAGCCTTATGTCGTAATTCAAACGATTGAAGATGTAATAAAAATAAGGCTTTTCTTTAGCAACCTTTCTATGAATAAATTCCTCCATATTCCATCTTATAAGGTTTTTTTAATAATAATCTAAATCATCATCATTGCCCTATTTATTGCAATGAAGTTATTGTTGTCACGACACGACCCAGGAATTTGAATTAATCAAAGCAAATACGGAAGATCAAACAATGAGAATTAAGTTTTCTATATTCATTTTTTATAACTAATATTTAACAAAATGAAATAGTCACTAAAAAAATTAAATTAAAGCAGTACAATTAAATTTACCCCATTATAGGTTATCTGCATATTCTATAAGTATTTTTTCTTCTATTGTTCAATTTTTAATCAATTAATTACACCTGAAAAGTTAATCTAAACCAATAGTGGCTAAACAAGGCCAATAAATACTCACACTTCTAAACTACAGTAATACAAGAGAAAAAAAGTAAAATGCATGCTAGTTAAGCTTTTAATAAATCAATATAAAGCAATTGATAGTTTTTGAATATGATCACTTACGATATTTTATGTTATTCAATGTTTTTTACAATATCAATATCATATTTATTATGTCTGTAAAATTGTCACAGTAGCACCGTCTAAAATGTCCATTAATTAAGATACTTCAATATCAATATTCATTTTTATTTGTGTGCATGGGTACTTCAGCATTCCCCTGCTAGTATCATAAAGATATGACTCCATCATAGTCAAACATGCAAAAACATACTATAACAAACATTATCTAGTACTTAACCTTTCATTCTCATTTATATAACAATCAATATGCATGTATATTAATCAACATCTATGAAAATTTAAATAATATTGAGTATGCATGTCACTCCAATAAAATGAACAAAATTCAATAGAACCATAAATTATGCATGTAGCGCTACAAATATATCAGCAACAGTAAATACTTTTGATTAAGAAGCAAAATATTATACATAAGAATATTACTCACCTCGATTATCTCCACAACTTATTTTTTAAGCCGTAACTCCTTTAATTGAACACCTATTATACAAAAATATACATATTAATAAATTTTTTTTATCACATTACTAATTATGCTAATTAATTATTATTAGTTTTTATTTCCTTTTTTCCTTATTTTAATTCAGATTATAATGCTTCATCTTTATATTTAATTATGTTGTTATAATTAAATTATAAATGTTTCCATTTTAATGAAAAAGTATCTTAGAAATTATTATTATTATTTTAACCTTGATTAACTTTATTTTACTAATATATTAAAATTATAGCTATTTTAGTTCAATTTATCAATTTTCTCCCTTTGTTTAATAATGTTTCATCTAAATCTTTTTAAATTTATATTTATGGTTACTTAAAATTATTAATTACTTAGTTTCACAACATAATATATCACCATAACTAAAAACATTTTCTAATAAACAACTCTAATGAAGGCACAATAACTTACAAAGTTTTCAGCAAGTTTGCTAAACCCTTATGTTGAGCATTCGGCTTTGCAAAATGAGTTCATATGAATCAACCATCACAACAACCCTCAAGTGATCGCTAATCATGCTACTGAGTTCAACCTGCTTAGTTCGACCTCCCGCACTGATGCCTTCGCTTGCTCAGGCCAAAACTTTTGCGGGTTAGCCTTCTTCCTCCAGTGCATGCAAGGCTTGTCTCCTTTGCTAGGGCTTGAGCTCAGCATCATCCGCTCGATCTCGAGGTCCAATCCCCTTCCCTTGATCGAACATGCAAGCAGAGCCACTCTTCTCCCGTTGTTGTGCAGAGTTTCCTCGAACGACACCGCCTATGCTTCCCTCCCAAGCGTCAGCAGCACTTCTTTTGCACGTGCACAACTAGGGTTTGGTCGACTTCTTCCTCTGCATGTAAGCACAACGATGGTGTCTTAACTTGCTCGACAACACCTCCTCTCCTCTGGCACCAAACCGTGGCGTCCTCTCCTTCGCACGATCTCCACACTTCGGTAGGAGAATTGCTCGACTTCTATTCCTCCTCTACTCTCTTTGACGTTCTCTCCTCCATTCATATCAGTTTATAACAACGAGTACCCTTCCATGGTACTTCCGTGTTCCTTGCTTGTTCGCTTCCTCTCCATCTTCGACTCCCTCTCTTTGACTCTTCCGAGAAGGCGAAAAAATGCAGCACAATTCTTTACCCCTTTCGACGTTTCCAAACCTTTTATTTTTCTTTACCTCCAAAATTTTTTTTTACATGACCTATATCTCAAAAATCAAAATATAAGAAATTTCACATATATCTTTGTTTTTGTTGGCCCATTTGTCATCAATTGATATCAAAACTAAATTTCAAGATTACAAGGAGATCTCAATGATGAAAGGCTTCTCTATGATAAGGTGTATTATTGTCACGTTCCGACCCGGTGCTTAAAATTAACCAAGGCGGGAAAAGCAGTCGGACGGTATTAACATCTATCTACATTTTGAAAACATTCAATACGAATAAAAGAGCCACTAATCCACTAGTGCAATAAAATCTAAAACATCCAGAAACAATAACATATCAAAATAACATCTCAATCCATTACTGAACAGTAAATAAACAACAGACAGGAACAATAAAGAAAACTATCATCAAGAAAAAAAAATACCTAGCAGCAGTGGTACTTCTCTAGTAAACAAAGTCTATCCTATCAGACATATCAATCTAAAACCTTTCTTCTCCTGAAAGAAAACATTTAACTTTTCGTTAAGCTATACATAAATGACCAAAAGAAAATGCAGTGAATTTCATTAAAATTTTAAATTTATCCCTTTCCCGTTTCACTTTAAGTATTTATCATTTTTATTCTCTTTAATAGTCATCACAGGATTGTCGTCATACCCAAAGGTATCCTCAAATATGTGTCTGAAATCACTCTCAAAATATGTCCGAAGACACTCTAAAAAATGTACCCAAAGGAACCCTCAAATTTGCACCCGAACGCGCATCTTTACCATTTCCTTTTACGTGCACGAGTACATTGCATCCCCTGTCAGTACCATTTGAGGGTAATCTTGTATGAATTGAACATTTAACTTTCATTTCATTTCATTTAAATTACATCATTTTAAAGACATTAAACTTTTTTTCCCTTTCCCCTTTCATTTCATTTCATTCATAAACTACAAAATGTATACAAACATAGTATAATTGGCTAAAGCATCATAGAAGTTTTTTATTTAATAAACTTTAAATTTAATACAATAAAAAATAATTACTCAGATTGACTTAGAAGGCCTCTGAAAAAAGTTCATTACTTATATTCACTTCCTAGCACCTAAACCAATAAAATGTGCATATACTTATATGAACTTCGTTTTATAGAAATACTTAAATGTAGTTAGTTTATTTAAAGATGTAAGAAAGATTAAAAACACTAACCTCTACTGACCTTAAAGTTCTTAGTCTTCCTCAAATTTTGAGAAATTATCAGCCTTCTACACCCTTCTGATCACATAAAAAAATATTAATTTAAATAATTATACTTTTTATTCTAACAACAATAAACCATTAATATTTACCTTATAAGTTGCTGAGATCGATCCTCCTCCTAACTCGTACACTCTAAGTTCTCTTTCAAATCTGAAATCATTAATTATTAGTCCTGTTTTTTTAATAAAGCTACCCATAAATATTGTAATTAATCACCCTCACACATAAATTTTATTTATATAGTAACATATTAATTAACTTACAAAATTAGACATTCCTTATAAGTTTTGCTCGGCCTCTACCCTAGATCACGCCCGAGCTCGGCAATTGCAGAGGGAGCCTTCTCATCTTCCTCTCCCTTGCATAACAATGCCGCTACCCTCTTCTTCTTCACACAATTCGATGCAGACAACGTTCTTCTCTTCTTCCTCTTCCTTTGTGTGAGCACAACATCGAAGTCTCCTTCTCCCCCCTCTGCTTTGTATGGTGGCAACGCTCGAAGCCGTGCCCTCTTCTCTTCCTCGACCGGTCGGTTAGGGCTTGAGGTAGATAGCACGCGTGCAAAATTTCTCCTCTTCCTCTGTACTTCTTCCTTCTTTTACTAGGCTTCG